GACCAGATCTTCGTGATTTTCCCATCCAGAACCCTGATGTTCAATATTACACCGACGGCAGTAGTTATGTAAAAGAAGGGATCCGCTATGCAGGATATGCAGTAACAACGATAGACAAGGTGATAGAAGCTCGGCCACTGGCAAAAGGAACATCAGCACAAAAGGCAGAATTGATAGCACTGACACGAGCGTTACAATTGGCTGAAGGTTTAAGAGTGAACATCTACACGGACTCCAAGTATGCGTTTTTAACCACTCATGCCCACGGAGCTTTGTATAAAGAAAGAGGACTATTGAATTCAGAAGGCAAAGAAATCAAATACGCAGCTGAGATCCTACAACTATTGGAAGCAGTGTGGGAGCCGAAAGAAGTCTGAGAGGAGATGGTGATGTAACCAAAGGGAATCGGATGGCAGATAGTGCAGCTAAGCGTGCTGCTGAATCAGGAAGACAGGAATATGTGGGGCATATAGCTGCTCTTATACCAACTCCACTGTCTCAATGGACTCCAATTTATACAGCTCAAGAAGAGGAGTGGTTAAGGACTGAACCTGGAAAGTATTTGGAGAACAAATGGTATCAGTTAGAAGATGGAAGAATAGTTATTCCAGCATCACTAGCGGTAGAAATTGTCCAAAACTATCATAACGGGACACATTCTGGGAGAGACAGTACAGAAGAATCTCTCAGAAAACATTTCTACATACCAAGATTGTCCAACTTGACTCAGGCCATTGTACGTAGATGTGTAACGTGTGCTAAAAATAATGCAAGACAAGGACCAGTAAAGCCACCAGGAGTCCAGTTTATGGGGGGACTTCCCATGTCCGATTTACAAATTGACTATACAGTGATGCCTAAATCGGGTGGACATCGCTACCTGCTGGTAGTGGTGTGCACCTATTCAGGCTGGGTAGAAGCATGTCCTACTCGTACAGAGAAAGCAGGAGAAGTCGTGAGATTCCTGCTACGAGAAATAATACCCCGATATGGACTACCCTGCTCTATAGGATCGGACAATGGTCCAGCTTTTGTTCATCAGTGCCTACAACAATTGACTCATATGCTTGGTATAAAGTGGAGGCTTCATACGGCATATAGACCCCAGAGTTCTGGTAAGGTAGAGAGAATGAATAGAACTATTAAGAATCAGTTGGCTAAAATGTGTCAGGAAACCCAACTTAAGTGGAACGTTCTCTTGCCCATAGCTCTATTGCGAATCCGTAGTACACCTACCAGAAGGATGGGCCTCTCTCCTTTTGAAATCATGTACGGGCGACCACCTCCCGTGCTTGGTAACTTAAGGGGGGATTTGAGTCAGTTGGGAGAAGGAATTACCCGGCAGCAGGTTGTAGAGTTGGGTAAGACTATGGAGGAGGTACAGAAATGGGTACAAGATAGATTACCTGTGAATATTTATCCCCCAATTCATAGTTACCACCCAGGCGACCAAGTGTGGATTAAAGAGTGGAATAATGTGCCGTTAGGGCCCAAGTGGAGAGGTCCTTATGTTGTTCTTCTGTCTACCCCTACAGCGATAAAAGTAGCCGAAGTGGCTCCGTGGATACATCACTCCAGGGTTAAACCAGCAGCAGCCGATTCCTGGCAAGTTACAGCAAATCCAGAGAATCCCTGCAAGATCCGGTTAAAACGCACGACTCAGTCGGAGTGACGAGGAACCTTGTAGATTACAAATTTTATTGTTTCAGAGACTTGGTAAGTGAGTGAGAAGGCCATAATAAAGCCTGTCCACTCACCAACGAGTGTATAAGTCAGGGAAAGTCTTGAGGGGACCCCTGTGAAGACGAGCAGAACTCCATTCCCTGCAGTCCTTACATCCTGGAAGCTGAGGTGCCTTCACACGGACGAAGACTGAGGATGACGACGAAAGATGTATTTTTAATAATGTTTATTTATGTGTATTTTTATATTCAGGAAGGTAGAGGTACCAACACTCCTAGCTGTGAGGTATGCATTAAGACTACAAGAACAGGTAACCATATATCCCAGACCCTAATTTGGCATTCGCAATATGAGTGTAAAGGAGATGTATCAAGATGTAGATACTTAAATATAGAATATAGTGTGTGTCATTTAGGAGTAGGAGAACCTAAGTGCTTCAGTCCTGAGTATCAACCCCGTACAATTTGGTTGACTCTCAGAAATGGAGATTCTCAGGGGACCCTAATTAATAAGACGGTATTAAAATCCGTATATTCTTCAGGTGCTCTGCTATTTGATGCGTGTAAAGCAATATCAAGTGGTAGAAAGCCGTGGAATGTATGTGGGGATCTTAGATGGGAGAGGACGTATGGGTCTAACGATAAATATATTTGTCCCAGTAGTAAAAATAAATATGTAAGTCCAAGATGCCCAAATAGAGATTATAACTTCTGCCCATATTGGTCTTGTGTGGGGTGGGCGACTTGGGGACAGACAGCAGACAAGGACATGATTGTGACTAAGTTGCCTACTAATCCATATTGTAAGTCTATGGAATGCAATCCAATCCATATACTTATAAATAACCCTGACAAGTTCTTAGATAAATATGGTAATTTATTTGGGTTTCAAATATATGGGACGGGTTTAGACCCTGGGACAATATTGTTTATAGGGATAGAGACTGATACGGTAACCTCCCAAACTCATCAAGTATACCATTCCTTTTATGAAGAGATGAGCATAGATAATAAGATCCCCCATAATGCTAAAAACTTGTTCATTGATTTAGCCGAGAGTATTGCCGGTAGTCTTAATGTTACCAACTGCTATGTGTGTGGAGGTACTAACATGGGAGACCAATGGCCTTGGGAAGCAAAGGAGGTAATGTCCGGTTCTGAGGCAGTTGACCAATTAATATCTACACAAGCCGACTATCATATGAGTGTTAGAGGTAAATCTGAGTGGAGATTGAAGACCTCCATCATAGGTTATGTTTGCATAGCGAGGAAAGGAATGATGTATAATACTTCTGTAGGAGAATTAACTTGTCTAGGGCAAAAAGCTTATGATGATGATACAAAGAATACAACTTGGTGGTCGGCTTCAAATGTCTCAGAACCATCTAACCCGTTTGCAAGATATGCCAATTTAAAGGACGTATGGTTTGATCTATCCATCACATCTAACTGGAGAGCCCCAGCGAATTTGTACTGGATCTGTGGTAAGAAGGCCTATTCGGAGTTACCACAGGACTGGGAAGGGGCATGTGTGTTGGGTATGTTAAAACCATCCTTCTTCTTGTTGCCTATTGAAACAGGTGAGACTTTAGGTGTTAAAGTGTATGATGTGAATCATAGGAAGAAAAGGGGACCCATAGAGATAGGTGCCTGGGAAGATAATGAATGGCCTCCCCAGCGTATTATAGATTATTATGGGCCAGCCACGTGGGCAGAGGATGGTACCTTTGGTTATAGAACCCCTATTTATATGCTCAACCGCATTATAAGGTTACAGGCGGTGGTTGAGATCATTACTAACGAGACATCACAAGCGCTCAATCTTCTAGCGAAGCATAATACCAGGATGAGGACAGCAGTTTACCAAAATAGATTAGCCTTGGATTATCTTTTGGCAGTAGAGGGAGGTGTATGTGGGAAGTTTAACCTGAGCAATTGCTGTCTTCAAATAGATGACGAAGGGCAAGCAATAGCTGAGCTTACTAGCCATATGGTTAAACTAGCGCATGTGCCTACTCAGGTATGGAAAGGGTACAATCCAAGTAGTTGGTTTGGTAGCTGGTATGAGTGGTTTGGAGGGCTTAAGGCAGTGGTAGGTGGAGTCCTACTGATTTTAATGTTGTGTCTACTCCTGCCGTGTCTTATACCCTTAGTAGTTAGGTCTGTGCAAAGCCTGATAGAAAATATAGCAGAGAGGAAGGCTGCTGCACAGATAATGGCAATTTATAAATATAAGGCTCTAGATCAGGGAGAACCAATGCAGGAAGACGAGTGTTGAAGATTCACATCATAGGATAAGTCTGGTCTGGTTCAAAGGTAACTTGTGGTGTATGCAAACCAAGGTTAAGTGATGCCTCAAGTAATTGTAAAATATCAAGAGGCATCAAAGGGGGGAATGTGGTGGAATCTCGGTAAAAATAAATTTAGTAGGCCGAGATTACCACGTGGCATGTGTACGTGCATATGCTGACGTATCGATCAGTTGGTTGCACGAGGCAAGATACGATCAGTAGTGTACGGAGCATGTGCAAGAATACAGGATGTAGTATTCCCCTCCTCCATTGTGCTGGACAAGCCATGCGGTCAAGCAGGAAGTTAATTCTTATTTGTAATGATTGGTCAAGAGAATGTGCGGGTGGAGCTTAATATGGGAGGAGTTATGTGCCTATATAGGGAGCCTGCACTATTGTTCAGGGCTCAGAACTTGCTGTATTTTTGGTGACATTAGTCCCTCTGAGTCCCGATCGGTGATCCAATAAAGAATCTCTTCCTTCCTGAAGAAACCTGTGTCCATCCCTCTGTGCTTTGCTTCCGTCAGTTTCTCCGGTATCAATACCAGTCTGATAGTGCCAGATCTCAGAAGTCATGCAGACTTGGGCCTGCTTAGTACTTGTATGGGAGACCAACTAGGAACCTCAGGTGCTGTAAGCTTTTGTTTATTTATTTTTTAGATTATGATGTCATAATCAGATCACTTTTTTCACTAGTCAGAAGTGTCTTGTCTTTTGTCGCAACCAGTGTTTGATATTATACAAACATCAGCGAGATCACTTTCTACTAATTTTGCCTACGGCCATACCAGTCTCAAAGTGCCTGATCTCGTCAGATCTCAGAAGTCATGCAGGCTTGGGCCTGCTTAGTACTTGTATGGGAGACCAACTAGGAACCTCAGGTGCCGTAAGCTTTTGTTTATTTCTTTTTTAGATTATGATGTCATAATCAGAACACTTTTTTCCCTAGTCAGAAGCGTCTTGTCTTTTGTCGCAACCAGTGTTTGATATTATACCAACATCAGCGAGATCACTTTCTACTAATTTTGCCTACGGCCATACCAGTCTGAAAAGTGACAGATCTCAGAATTCATGCAAACTTGGGCCTGCTTAGTACTGGTATGGGAGACCAACTAGGAACCTCAGGTGCTGTAAGCTTTTGTTTATTTATTTTTTAGATTATGATGTCATAATCAGATCACTTTTTTCCCTAGTCAGAAGTGTCTTGTCTTTTGTCGCAACCAGTGTTTGATATTATACCAACATCAGCGAGATCACTTTCTACTAATTTCGCCTATGGCCATACCAGTCTGAAAGTGCCTGATCTCGTCAGATCTCAGAAGTCATGTAGACTTGGCCCTGCTTAGTACTTGTATGGGAGACCAACTAGGAACCTCAGGTGCCGTAAGCTTTTGTTTATTTCTTTTTTAGATTATGATGTCATAATCAGATCACTTTTTCCCTAGTCAGAAGCGTCTTGTCTTTTTTTGCAACCAGTGTTTGATATTATACCAACATCAGCGATATCACTTTTTGCAAATATCGCTTACGGCCATACCAGTCTGAAAGTGCCTGATCTCGTCAGATCTCAGAAGTCATGCAGACTTGGGCCTGCTTAGTACTTGTATGGGAGACCAACTAGGAACCTCAGGTACCGTAAGCTTTTGTTTATTTCTTTTTTAGATTATGATGTCATAATCAGATCACTTTTTTCCCTAGTCAGAAGCGTCTTGTCTTTTGTCGCAACCAGTGTTTGATATTATACAAACATCAGCGAGATCACTTTCTGCTTATTTCGCCTACGGCTATACCAGTCTGAAAGTGCCTGATCTCGTCAGATCTCAGAAGTTATGCAGACTTGGGCATGATTAGTACTTGGATGGGAGACCAACTAGGAACCTCAGGTGCCGTAAGCTTTTGTTTATTTTTTTTTTAGATTACGATGTCATAATCAGATCACTTTTTCCCTAGTCAGAAGCGTCTTGTCTTTTGTCGCAACCAGTGTTTGATATTATACCAACATCAGCGATATCAATTTATGCAAATTTCGCCTACGGTCATACCAGTCTGAAAGTGCCTGATCTCGTCAGATCTCAGAAATCATGCAGACTTGGGCCTGCTTAGTACTTGTATGGGAGACCAACTAGGAACCTCAGGTGCCGTAAGCTTTTGTTTATTTCTTTTTTAGATTATGATTTCATAATCAGATCACTTTTTTCCCTTGTCAGAAGCGTCTTGTCTTTTGTCGCAACCAGTGTTTGATATTATACCAACATCAGCGAGATCTCTTTCTTCTAATTTTGCCTACGGCCATACCAGTCTGAAAGTGCCTGATCTCAGAAGTCATGCAGACTTGGGCTTGCTTAGTACTTGTATGGGAGACCAACTAGGAACCTCAGGTGCCGTAAGCTTTTGTTTATTTGTTTTTTAGAATATGATATCATAATCAGATCACTTTTTTCCCTAGTCAGAAGCGTCTTGTCTTTTGTCGCAACCAGTGTTTGATATTATACAAACATCAGCGAGATCACTTTCTACTAATTTCGCCTACGGCCATACCAGTCTGAAAGTGCCTGATCTCGTCAGATCTCAGAAGTCATGCAGACTTCGGCCTGTTTAGTACTTGTATGGGAGACCAACTAGGAACCTCAGGTGCCGTAAGCTTTTGTTTATTTCTTTTTTAGATTATGATGTCATAATCAGATCACTTTTTCCCTAGTCAGAAGCGTCTTGTCTTTTTTTGCAACGAGTGTTTGATATTATACCAACATCAGCGATATCACTTTTTGCAAATTTCGCTTACGGCCATACCAGTCTGAAAGTGCCTGATCTCGTCAGATCTCAGAAGTCATGCAGACTTGAGCCTGCTTAGTACTTGTATGGGAGACCAACTAGGAACCTCAGGTGCCGTAAGCTTTTGTTTATTTCTTTTTTAGATTATGATGTCATAATCAGATCACTTTTTTCCCTAGTCAGAAGCGTCTTGTCTTTTGTCGCAACCAGTGTTTGATATTATACCAACTTCAGCGAGATCACTTTCAGCTAACTTCGCCTACAGCCATACCAGTCTGAAAGTGCCCGATCTCGTCAGATCTCAGAAGTCATGCAGACTTGGGTCTGCTTAGTACTTGTATGGGAGACCAACTAGGAACCTCAGGTGCCGTAAGCTTTTATTTATTTATTTTTTAGATTAAGATGTCATAATCAGATCACTTTTTTTCCCTAGTCAGAAGCGTCTTGTCTTTTGTCGCAACCAGTGTTTGATATTATACCAACATCAGCGAGATCACTTTCTGCTAATTTCGCCTACGGCCATACCAGTCTGAAAGTGCCTGATCTCGTCAGATCTCAGAAGTCATGCAGATTTGGGCCTGATTAGTATTTGTATGGGAGACCAACTAGGAATTTCAGGTGCCATAAGCTTTTGTTTATTTCTTTTTTAGATTATGATGTCATAATTAGATCACTTTTTCCCTAGTCAGAAGCGTCTTGTCTTTTGTCGCAACCAGTGTTTGATATTATACCAACATCAGCGATATCACTTTTTGCTAATTTCGCCTACGGCCATACCAGTCTGAAAGTGCCTGATCTCGTCAGATCTCAGAAGTTATGCAGACTTGGGCCTGATTAGTACTTGTATGGGAGACCAACTAGGGACTTTAGGTGCTGTAAGCTTTTGTTTATTTCTTTTTTAGATTATGATGTCATAATCAGAACACTTTTTTCCCTAGTCAGAAGCGTCTTGTCTTTT